GCTCCAAAGAGTCTAGGATTTGACAGGCTCAGTTAAGGCAAGCTGCAATAGAGAAGCAATTTTTCAGCTACCCAATGGAGGGGAGGAGGGAAGGACGAAGGCGAATGAGAGATCCAAGGGGCAGGAGTGAATAAAACAATAAAGGATGCTGGGAATCCGAGGACAATTTTGGCATTCATTTCCCAATGACACCAACTGCTAAGAAACTGGACCTTATAGCAAAAACAGCAGAAATAAGCAATTCCTTGTTAAGCATCACAAAGGAAATGAAAATAATTGTTCATTGCCTATGACTTGGATTCAAAATGGGCCATTTATATTTATGCACCTGTCTTCAAAGCTATTCAAAACTAGAATAGCTTTAAAAACAGACAGAACAGCCATGAATAGCAACCTAGTTCCAACTATTTGTTTCTTTCATTGCCAAGGCCAAAATAATACATCTTTAAAATAAGGATACATGTAAAAACACTCCAGGGAACAAATTAGTAATGGAATAGGAATCTCTCTCATTTGTATAATCAAAAGTTCACATCCAACCCAGGCCAATAGTGACTGAAAGCTCATGTCTTTGTAATAGCTGTCCACCAGCATAGTGTAATGAGGTGCTTAGATGAAATATAAGAATTAGAATAGAAGAGAATTTTAATGCTCTCAGTATAGTTCTTAACGGTGTCTACAGCTCAACAGGTGGCCCTTTTGCTAAGAATGGCAAGGACTACATGAGCACGGAGACTAGAATTTCTTGCCCATAGCCTTGTTGTGTTGAGAGAAAATGGCAGAGCAATGGGGAAAGCTTTCTCTGACATAACCTGTCCAATGGATGGAGATCATCAGTATTCAGAGCTGTCAAATCAACCCTAAATTTACTCATTTTAAATATGGTTGTGTCTCACGGGAGCTCACCTAAGGAAGTGAAATAATGTAAATTCTTTACCCACAGAGACAGGCCTTGCCACTAGTGCAAGGAAAAACAATATTGCCCAGGGAATAGGCCTTGTTCCTTTTGTCTTGGCAAGACTCAGGCAGGCTGGTTCATTAAGTACATTGCACAGTTAGGCAAAGGATTTATGCGCTAACATTTCCTGTAGTTAGGCTGAAGACTCATCTCCACTAGGAACGGTTTTTACTACTTTTGGTGATGGGTCTGGATATAAATCATAGGAACAATCTATTTGGACACAAAGAATACATTCCTAAGGACCACCCGAGAGTGGAAAGAAGTGTGTGTCAGGACAAAGATGGCTATGCCAAACACCAGCAGAGACTTTAGTTACTAAGGCTCCATTCCTAAGAATAGTTATAAAGGGGCTTAACTTTAAGCATCAGAGTAATCCCTCTCAATGGGACTGAAAGGTAAGCACTAGCCTTATCAAATCACATAACACATGATTCGGATTTTTCAGATTTGTTCAGTTCTAACCACCCCAGGTGTTGTTTGCATCATAAATGTGGAAAGTTGTTTCCCAGACATACCTACAACAGCACCCTTTCAATATGTACAGAAAAGCAGGTGTAACCCATAACCGTGTGTTCTCTACACTCAAAGCAACCACCATGTGCATATACCCATGACCTACTTAGCCCTAAAACTGCTCTGCCACATAAAGGAGTCAGGAATAACTGCAGAGCCAGCAATCGAAAAGGCAGCTTTTTTCCCTTGCAAGCAAACAACTAGCTTTAACCTATCTGTCCCTGGGTTTGCAATTTATAAGAAGCGATCATCCGAGGATCCAGAAGTTGGCTTTGCTTGGAGAATCAGGACCTTCGTTCATGGTGTTGGGATCTTTACCTGGTATTTTAATAGTCACACTTCATTTAACCAGAATCCAGGGGTGAAAGCCTGACCTCATACAAGTTAATGGCAAAACTCCTCCCACTGATTTCAGTGAGGCCAGG